GGTTGGATGGGGCCCTGGGCAGCCTGGGCTGCTGTGAAATGTGGAGGTTGGTGGCCCTGCCTGTGGCTGGGAGTTGGAGCTTCATGATCCCTGAGATCCCTTCCAACCCGGGCCATTCTGTGATTCTGTGAAATCCCATCTATAGGAGGAGAACTTCGGGCAGAGGCCACGAATCTGCGGGCAGAGTGATGCAATCCATGGCCTGAGTGTCTGCTTCCGAGAGTGGCTGCACAGCTTGCAGTGGGGTTTGGCTTCCTCCCAGGCTTCTGTAACAGAGACGGGGTTGGTCAGGGTGTTTTTGCTGCAGAGCAACCGGTTCTGAATGCATGCATCTCAGTGGAAATGACTGCGGTTGTCTCCTGGTATGCAGAGGCTCCGATTCCCTCTCCTTGCTGTGTCTGGAAAGCAGCGAAACGCCACTGTGAGATGAAGGGCTGTCACTCCCAGTGCTGCTGTGCCACGACCGCGGAGGCAGCGCTTGTTGTGATGCTCCATTTATGCTCTCTCCCAGCCAAGAATTAAAATTCCTTGAAATTGCCTTTGATAAATGGCTGCATTTTTTACTCAATATGGGGTTTTGGCTTTTGTAGCTAAGCAGGCTTTTAGTTTTGTCCTTTTCATTCCATTGCTCCTTGCAGAGATTTTCTAACCACTGAAAGTGCCTTCACAATAGGTCAACCATTGGCCCAGTGAAACATGCAGTGAGAATTGCTCTGAATGTGGTATTAATCAAAGCAGCCATTACAATGAAAGGATAACTGCTGAAACGTATTTGGAATAATCTGGAAATTAAAAAGGCTGGAGCTATGGTTTTCTGAAAGCACGTCATACTGCAGTCTGAATGGGGATTCAGCTGCCAGAGGTACAACAGATCCCTTCATTGCTGCAGGCTCTGAGCATCCCCCTCCTGAAAGAGTTTGCTGACGGGCTCTCAGCATCTCCTGGGTATTTCTGTGTAGTTATCATAAGGAGCATAGATTTATTTCTATAATCAGTATACAAAGATTATACACAGTTACTTAAATATATATATATACACCAGCTCTTTTCAAGCTTTAGGTTTGGTTTCTGCAAAATCAGAACCTAAAGGTGACAGATGAATAAGCAAGGATTTCTTTTCCTTCCACTGATGTGCAATTCTAACAGCATTTCTCTTTCTTCTCCAATTTCTAGTGGAACTGGAGCACAGGATTGATTTCGAGCTCAGGGAAGGTCTGGTGGAGAGCAGATACTGGTCTGCAGTCACGTCGCACACTGCCTATTGGTCATCTCTGGATATTGCTCTTTTCCTGCTAACCTTCATGTACAAACACGACCAGGACGATACTGACAAATCCAATTTGGACGCTATCTGAATTTTTGACTGGGGTTTGGGAGGGATGGGAAAGGAAATCTGAAAACCAATGGCACAAAACAGATGTTAAACCGCAGTATGTATGGCATGGAGGTTTCAGGTTTAAGTGCATGTTTGGGTTTTTTCCTGTTTCTAAGGAGCAAAAATGATTTGTATGGAAAAGCACTTTATAGTTTCAAACGTTTTGCAGTGCTTAATCAGACCTGAAATTGTTCCAAATTCCTGTTGACTTTGCATAAGAAGACGACACAACGTGCAGCACCACTTACACTCCGTTGTGCATTGTGCTCGGGTGACATTCTTGTTGATGACCATAATTGCTGTTCAGTTCATTAAAGTATAAAAAGAGGAGTTGATTTAAAAAAAAAAAAAAAAAAAAAAAAAAAAAGAAGAAGCAAAATTAATTTCCATTAACAAAGTATGTGTTACTTACAAACCTAAAACTGCCATGTTCCAATGTTGTATGTGTCAGTCAGTAACGAACGGTGGTGTCATTTCTCTAGGATCTGTTCAGCTCCACATCCTGTTATCCACGGTACCATTCTGAGTGCTGGCTGCTGGGCTGTGTTCTACGTGGCACATGGAGAAACCAATGCTGAAAAGCACCACGAGGATATGAAAAACTGTAATTATAATTTATTATCTCCGTTTCATTTTATCCCAGTGTATAAAACATTACTTTTTTACTGGTTTCTTTTGACATAATTTAAGAACCACGTTTATTTTCTACAGCGTTAAGACTTTTTCTCAGAAATGCATATCTTTGTACTACTATTCAGATGAATATATGGACACTGTGGCACACTTTAAGTATTTTTTCATTAAAATAAATATTTGTGGTTTCACACAAATGACGTTAATCACCTTCTTCTCAAAGGTGAGTCATTGCTTGGCCAGGTCCCACGTGTCTCTGAAATGTATGAAGGCTTTGACCTCAGTGTGTAGAGGGTCCCTTTGCCATGAGTAGGTGTATATATGTGTGTTTTTGTGTAGAAACATATATTTGTGTGTGTATATAGACATGCAGGGAGCCGTCAAGAAGAAGGAGAGCAGCATTATATAAACTGGGCGAAACCTGAGGATACCAGAACTTAGATTGGATTTGTATCTGAAACTAATTCAGGAGCCTCCAGGAGGGATGTGTTGTGATGAGAGGAAATATCTCCCAATGAAACACCAAAAGGCCATTGCTGGGATGTTCAGCCATGCACAGCTCTAGAGCAGAAGTGTCAGATCCACAGCCTCTGCACTGCCTCTGGCTCGGGTATTTATGGTCTGTGTGGCATGTTTAGAAGCTGCAGAATCTCAGCTTTCTTTTGCAGAGGATGAGGCCGTGGTGGCAGCCAATAGCTGTGTTCTCAATGTAAACAGATGTGGGACCATCAGCCCCAACCAGCAGCCTTCCCTCCTGAAATGTGGGAGGGGGAGGGCAGCAGCACTGCTGCGGGGCTCTTGTTTGTGCCCGAGCGTGTAGTGCAATGGGGGAGGAATGGGGCGTGAGGCTGTGTGTTGTGGTTAGGGATTTAGCAGCAATTATAAAGGGATAAACAGTGCAGAGGGGGTAAAGGGAGGAATGGGAGGTGGGGGGGAAGGGTAGAAGATGATGGGAACGGTGCTGCTATAAATGCAGCAAGACACTGGGTCTATGGAACTCTGGCTACTAAATCCTTTTGGCTTCAGTGAATCGTAACTCATGCCTGGCAAGTTCACCTTGGTTGATGAATAATCATTAAAAATTCAAGTCTGCCCTTTAAGCGGAGGGGAGTTTGACACCTATGTTCCAGAAAACAGGCTTTTGTTTTTGCGGCTGCTTTCGTTGTTCAATCAACCTTTCTTAATTAGGAGAACTTGAACATAAAAGGAGAATCTCCTTTTATGTTTGGAACATGCAAAACATTTCCGAATGCGCCCGGTTGGTGCTCGGGGTTGGATGGTGTCACGGCTGCACCATCCCCTCCCAGCAGTGCATCTCCACGAGATCTTGTTTTCAGTGCTGCAAGCAGAGGGGGTTAATTCCTACAATTCTTGTGGTCTGCGTAAACTCTGCTGTTGTCCAGAACATGTTTCAGATTTATGGGATGGCTCTTTTCCCCGCACCAGGACGTGCTGGAGCCTGTGGAGCACACTCCATATAAGGGCTGGGATCCTCGTGTACCTCCTGTGTACCTCTGGGGCAAGCAGGGAGAGGGGCAGGAGCTGAGCATCGCCTTGCCTTCCTCCTGCCCTCATGGAGCGGATTCTGGTCCAGCGTTTGAGAAGCATTCCTAACATTGTGACAAAGAAGACAAGCCTGAGGAATAAATGGAGGTTTATTCTAAAGCGTATACAAGCGTATGACGCGTGCTGTAGGCAGATTTTCATGTTTTTAACTCTCAAAAAACCTCTCTTTCCCCTCTTGCAAAGATGATTTGCTCTTTGATAACGTCACTTTAAAGCCATTAGACAAAAAAAGGGCTGCCCCATGTCTGCAGCACAGCACAGCCTCGAGCAGAGCCCCATCACTGCACGCTGGATTCTAAATTTCACACTTAAAACTTTCTGGTCAGATGGTCTGCAGCAGAATATAGAGCTGGAATGTGCTGGCTTCCAATGAGCGACTTGTTTTCATTCGCACAGTGATGTTTAGCCTTACGAGCTGTGTTGGCGGGTGGTTTTTCTTGAGAACCCAAGATAAGGGGAATGAACTGCCTTGTTGTCATCTCCTGACTGATCCTCAGCTGTTTTCCTGCACTCGTCCTTCAGTTTCTTTGTCCAAATTTGATGCTTGCTGTCTTTTTTTAATACGAGGTCGTTTTGCAGATAACCTCCTTCAATTTTTTTAATTCTTTTACTGAATTTCATCCCTTTGCTCCTAATTCTTCCATCGTGGCTGCGTGGTGACCAGCAACAGGGTGAGAGCTGATGGCCTCCAGTTGTGCCAGGTGAGGTTCAGGTTGGACATTAGGAACAGCCTCTTCTATGCAGTGGCACAGCTGCCCAGCAGTGGTGGGGTCACCATCCCTGGAGGTGTTCCAGAGCCACGGAGATGTGGCACTGAGGGATGTGGGCAGTGGGCATGGCGGGGTGGGCTGGGGTTGGGCTTGGGGATCTTGGAGGTGTTTTCCAGCTTTAATGATTCTGTGATTCCATGCTTGCTTTCTGCTGCTGCTTTATTTTGCAGTGACAGCCCAGCTGGCCACCTTCAATTATTTCAGCTCCTTATCAGTTTGAGGCTAATCAGAAAGAAGTGTTCATTCTCATGTCTATATTCCACCTGGGTGCCACCTCCTGCACAGAATCACAGAATCACCAAGGTTGGAAAAGATCTATAAGATCATCCAGTCCAACCATCCACCCATCACCAATGGTTCTCGCTAAACCATATCCCTCAACACAACATCCAAACATTCCTTGAACACCTCCAGGGTTGGTGACTCCACCACCTCCCTGGGCAGCCCATCCCAGTGCCTGACCACCCTTTCAGAGAAGTAGTATTTCCTAATATCCAGCCTGCACAATTCTGTTTGTCCTGCTGCTCCTTTCCCACACCATTCATGCAGAGCTGGCTTTGCCTCGAGCTGAATGGGTGGGAATTGATTTCTTTTACTTCATTCAGCACTATGTCAACTGTTTGCGGTTAGATAGTTAATGTACATTTGTGTGCCCTCTGCCCCACAAGTTTATTTCAAATGTCATTCCCTTTCCTATTTTTCTGTTATTGGCTCAGAGTTGAGGTTTCTGCCTCACAGTCCCTCTTTGATTTTCATCGAAGATGAAATGGATTCATAGAACCCATAGAATGATTTGGGTTGGAAGGGGCCCTTCAAGGCCCCCTGGTTCCACTCCCTGCAATGCCCAGGGGCACCCACAGCTCCAGCAGTGCTCAGAGCCCATCCCCTGACCTTGGGTTTCTCCAGAGATGGGACACCACCACCTCTCTGGTCAACCTGTGCAGTGCTCACCATCTGTAGTGTAAAAAGCCTCTTCCTTATATCCAACCTAACTCTCCCCTCCTTTAGTTTGAAACTATTTCCCCTTGTCCTATCACAACAGACCCCACTAGAAAGTCTGTCCCCCAGATTGCCACCCATGTGACAGTCCCATTTTCTGGTTTATCAGCCTGGCATTTTTATTAAACTCTGCATTTTGCCTGCACTTAATAAGCATTTTCCAAAAAAATCGAACTTTGTCCAGGTTCATTTTTCCCTCCCTCTTCCCCAGGTGCGTTTTTAGTACCACTTCCCTACTGCCCATTATCTCAAACCTCTTCTGAAGATTTCTGATCTAATTTCTGCTTTGAATTCAGTTTGCTGGCATTGAAGCTTGCTTGCTGCAGCACAGTTTGTGCATCATCAAGACGTGCAAGTTGAAGCCCTGCAACCCCTTTGAAATCCACGAGACATTTTGCTGTTGTGATCCAGTGTCAGCTCAACCCACGTGGATGCATTCATCCTCCAGGATGACAGAATCCTAGAATGGTTGGGTTGGAAGGGACCTCAGAGTCCACCCATTTTCAAGCTCCTGCCGTAGAGTTATGGAGTGGGTTGGGTTGGAAGGGACCTCCCAGCCCCCCAGTCCCACCTCTGCCGTGGGCTGGCTGCCCCCTACCAGATCAGGCCCAGAGCCCAATGGACAAGTTGAGTGAGCACATTCACTGTCTCCAAGGAATAGAAAAAGCCCCAGTAGATGGAATGAAATGCCTGGCTATTGAACTTCTAGACCTGGTGGTCAGTGCTCTCTGGTCCCATTAGAAAACAAACTCCACCCTCAGCCCTTCCACTGAAGATGCCCCATCTCCCTGCAGCTGCGTCCTTTCTCTTCGGGTGTGAGAAGTCACTGAGTCCACAGCAAACATGGTGCCATGGTTTTCCATGCCTCATTGATCCCAAGTGTGGAGGTGGGAGAGGTGATGTGCAAACCTCCCTGCCCGGAGCTCTGCAGACCCCACAGCTGCTTTGTTCTTGCTTTCATGGCTCTTTCAGTTTCGCTCAAAGTCTGTATCACATCCCAGAGCAATGCCATACTTTGCACTTGAAGAGCAGCCTCTTGAAGGGTCTTGACATTTCACTGTGCTGTTTGATAAAGAAGATTCTTGGCCTCCAGTTTAAAACAAAATGTCAAGTTTGTTTGTGCTAAAGTATCTGGTTTGGGGGTTTTAACTACTTTCTGTAGTTCGTAAGAAGTCTCCTTCAGCATAGGTTTTGAATTAGTAATAGCTGTTTGAAGTAGAAATGACTTAATCTTATCCAGTGCCATATGAATCCAGATTTTTGCCCTCTGATTTGCCAGCACAGCACAGGGAGTGGTGGAGTCACCATCCCTGGAGTGTTCCAGAAGCGTGGAGATGTGGATCTGAGGATATGGTCAGTGGGCATGGTGGGGCTGGGTTAGGGCTGATCTTGGAGGTCTTGGAGAGCACCCACAGCTCTCTGGGCAGCCTGTGACACTCTTGGCAATGAAGCCAATGGACCACATGTTCCACAGTGTTTTCTCCAAGTTTGTGCTTCCAGAAGTGATTTTCTACAGTGGAAAAGAGGACTGTGAATGATTGAAGAGGATGGGTTGGGTGGGCTGATGGAAGTGGGCGCAGGGCGGCGATGCCCATGGGGCTGCAGTGCAACGTGGGGATTTGCAGGGCTTCATTGCTGGGAGCCAGGCTGGGCAGGTTGCTTCCCAACAGCTGTGGGTGCCCCATCACTGGAGGTGCCCAGGACCACGGATGGAGCCCTTGGCAGCCTGAGCTGGTGGAGGCACCCAGCCAACAGCAGGGAGGTCTGGGGGAACACTGAGGTCTTTTCCAACCCAACTCAACCCAACCACGCTGTGATTCCATGATACGATTCTCTCAGTACAGACATGGTGAGACTTCCTTGCTAAGGAGGATGGCTCAGCCCCAAACCAGCACTGCTCAGCTCCAGCTGCTCCCACCAAGCGTGGTACCAAGGGCTACCAGCGCCGTGTCTCGTTGCTGTTTCACAGCATTCATGTTCAGCCGTGTGTGTGTACTCTGCAAGAAGGGCTCGTGTTGAAACAATAGCCAAACGTTTTCTGTTAACAAAGTGTGTCGCATGGGATGGGACGGCTCTGCCTCTTGGCACATTCCTTGGGGTTTCTCCTGTATGCTTACCACACTGCCCCTTGCATGCAAGCCTAATTTTATAACATTTTCCTATAAACAGAATTATTGAAAATCAGCAGGGGAAGGGAGGGAGGGGAAGGCTGCAGGAAAAAAAAAGGAAGAGGGCAGAGCCATTCCTCCCAAAGCTCGTGCTGTGCTGTCACGAAAGCAACCTGCGTGCTGCAGCCCACATCTGTGCACCAGGGGAATTAGTGTTTGCTTCCCGTGGTCGCTGACCCAACACTGCATTTCTGACATCTGCAATCACAGCTCCCAGGACATCAGTGCTGGGTGTTTGCCACTGTCCAGTGCAGGGATGCTGCAGTGAATGCTTTGCCTATCGCCAGTTATATTTCATCATCACAATGGCATTCTCAGCCCTCTCTGGACTCGTGAGTTACAGCGATGTGTTCGTGGCCTTCATTGAAGCACTTCTGGACGCAAGATGTTTCTGCACGAAGCACTGAGGTCCTTGCAGGTCTGGTCTGTGGGCTCTGGGAAAAGCACGCGTGCACAGATTTGTGTATCCCACTTGTTTCTCCACACTCAAAGCAGTGTTTTGAAGCAGAGCTTCCAAATGAGCCTACAAGCTTCTGCAAAATGACTTCATCCTCCCGACCCATTTAGTTAATTAACACACTACATCGCTGGCTGCCCCCGAAGATACCCCCCCCCCCGACTGAGATTTCTCTTTAGATTTGGATGAAACGCAAAGGTTGAGTCATGATTTTGCTTTCTGGCACTGCAGTCGGAGTGGGGAATGTTGCTCACATCGCTGGCTGTTGCCATATGCTTTTTTCATCAAGCAGAAGGGCGCAACTTTCTTTTTGCTTCCCCCGCCCCCCCCCACTGACTCACTCCCCAAATATGTTTCTGGTTAGGATGCTCGCTGCCTCCTTCCTGACATAAGGTTTTGCAGTTTGCGGTGCTCTCTGTGAATCGTCTCCATCAGCTCCAAAATCCCCCGGGTGGGTCCTGGGGAGCAGAGCTGGAGCTGCCCATGGGCTGCATATCATAGCATCATGGGATCAAAGGATCGTGGAATCACAGAATAAGCAGGAATCTATGGAATTCTACAGAATCATAGAGTAGAATGGGGGCAGTGGGCAACTCTGAGTGCCAGGATGGAGCAGCTCCCCATGAAGCAGACCCTGTATCCACCCAACAATAAGCCCAACAAGCTCTGAGCATGGGATCAGGGTTCTGACAGCCACCCTGGGGGCTTTTGCACGTTGCTTGCATTGCAGCCCCATCCCGTGATCCCTACTCCAACCACCCCGCAGTGCTGGGGCTGCCGTGTGTCCCATCCTCACCTCCCCACGCCTGAACAGCCCAGGAGAGGCCATGCAGAACAGCCCGCCTGCTTCCAGCTGAGGAACTGAGATGCCAAGAGTTAAGCAGCTGGCCCCAAGCCAGAGCTCTTGGAAACAAGCCCATATCTTCCTTGTATTAGCTGGGACATGACCGTGGAGCATGCCTTGCCCTGCTGGAAATGTCACCCACGTTCTCTGGAGCAGCTATTCTGCAAAGAAGAATTTTGCTTTTTGCTTTTCGCTTTTCTTTCTCCTTAATGATTCTGTGAAAGGAAGGGATTTGCTCTTGGATGCCATGGCCATACCAGATCCCTTACGGGAAGGACACATTGCCAATGACCAACTCTTGTTGGTTTCCCACACAGTACCAGTGACCTCTCCTTGGACACCCAGCAGTGACTCTTCCATCTCCTTTCCAGGATTTGATGAACTTTGGTTTCTTGCTGTCATTTTTCTTTTCCTTATTCTTTCCTATGGCTGTTTTTCCTGGCTGGATGCTGCCATCGCTGGGGAGGCAAAGGCTTTCCTCACAAGGAACACATTGCTGGAACACATGTGCTC